AACACAAACACAGGTATAGTTGAGCAGTAATTATACAGCATATATAGCCGCTGCAATGAACACACACACATCTTACCATGCAGCATTCCAGAGGCTTGAGCTGTGTCCAAATAAGGACATCTCATCTCTCACATCTCCACTACTCCTAATAGAAATGTTTCACTTCTCATATTTCCAGCTTCTTGTTATACAGACTGCTACTATTTAATACAAAGTAATTAAGTACACACATGAATATATAAAAACACAGGTGACATAATAAAATGAATATACCAGAAATACGCTGTATTAAACGTTCTGCTATAACACGTTACTTCAGGGTGCAGCTATATGTTTTATTTATTTCAAAGTGGGTCCATTTGAATTATATTCATTTTCTTCAAATGTGCAGAGGACTCCCCAAGTGCTGATTCATTTTGAAGTAGGCCTGTGTCTTTTTATTAATTCTCCTTATACGAGTTCTTTGTTTCTAATTAGAGGTAACCAGTTTTCTAGAATGTAATAAATAATAAATGCAAACAAACTGTAGTTTTCGTCTATGATGTAACAATAAATACAACGTTATAAGCTATCAAGCTATCAAATATGTGTTGCTGCTCCAGACAAAAAGATTGGTGGAAAAGACAGACCCCTGGACGAGTGTAAAGAAAACACATTAAGAGTTTTTAAAATCAATCAATTTTGTCTTTTCTCAAATATTTTTAATTCTGAATCCGGACTTTTGATTTTTTTTCCAATTCAGAAAAAAACATTATTCTATACTTTTCTGAACATTTCAGAATTTTCACAGATTTGTTACTTTTTCTAAGAATAATAACTTTTTGTGGGAATTTTTACTCTTTCCTCAAAAACTAATTTCCACTTTTAAAGATAGGGTAGGTAGTTCCCTTCAGAAACACTTTATTATATACGGAAGAGGATTAGGGCCACATCTCAGAATTCTGAGATTAAAGTCAGAACACATTATTTGTTTGTTTGTATGTGGCCCTAATCCTCTTCCGTATAGTTCCCTTCAGAAACACTTGTTATATTCCATGGAATGCTCTTAGCATCCCGATAGCAATGAATATCTGAAGTGCTTTGAAGCCGTGGCGCTGTAGAAAGCACCAATCATCTGAGCCGGCTAAAGTAACTGGATGGCCTACCTGCCTGTCAGCCTTCCATCTGGGCACAAACTGACCTCGTGCCCTCATTGGTCATGTGCGCGTTCGTGTGTGTTGGAGGAGGGGCTCTGTGAGGAAGGGGCAGATTTGTTCCGGTTGTGTATTTTCAAATTCTAGCCACTCAAGCTGGTTTCTTCATTCTTACCTACCCCACCTTTAATCTCAGAATTTAAATTTGTTTCAGAATTCTGACTTTTTTCCCAGTATTTGAACTCTTTCCTCAGGATTGTGTCTTTTTTTCAGAATGTTGACTTTTCTCATCTTTTGACTTTTTTCACAGAACTACATTTATTTTCAGAACTTTGACCCCCCCCCCCCCCCCAGAACGGTCAAAATGTGACATGAGTGAGGGTGGGGCTGTGATTCGGCTATACATCGCCGCCGCGTAGTAATAAAGGTGAGCGCATACATAGTGAGACCTACAGTACAGAGACGGTTTAGAAAGTATATGAATTTGACCCGATAGAAAAGCTGTGTTAGTTATGACGAAGAGTGAGTGTCATTTAAAACAATGTATGATGAGTGAGGTTGTGCCCATCTTGTCACTGTGGGTCCTCTTTGCTCAAGGGGCCCTGGGCAGATGTCTTTTGTGTGTGTGTGTGTGTGTGTGTGTGTGTGTGTGTGTGTGTGTGTGTGTGTGTGTGTGTGTACATGGGTACCATAGGGGTGTAGTGGATCTTGTAGACCAGGCCCATTGCAAGTACTCTGTCGTCTACTCTAAGCCATCCTAGGTTGTCAAAGTGGGCAGAGGTGAGGTGGGTTCTAGATGAAAGGTCAAGCAGTAGTCTGACCAGTTTATTTTGCGATGTTTGAAGTTTTATTTTTAGCGCCTTGGAGGTGCTATGGTACCATGACGTGCAAGCATAGTCATAGTACCCTTGAATGAGTGCTCCTGCCAGAGTTTTCAGGGTGTTTTTGTTTACCAGAGAGGAGATCCGGTATAGGAATCTAGTTCTTTGATTGACTTTTTTTATTACATTGGATGCCATTTTATCACAGGAGAGGTTTGCCTCAAGAATAGATCCTAGGTATGTAATTTCCTTCTTACTTGTGACAATAATGTCGCCCACTGTAACTGAGAAGTCGTCGGATTTGCTGAGATTATGTTTCGAACCGAAGAGAATGGACTCTGTTTTACCCAGGTGTAATGATAGTTTATTATCGGCGAGCCAGGTGCAGATTCTGCCGAGCTCGGAGCTGAGGGTTTTTTCAACCTGCAACCTGCTCCTGTCAGAGACCAGCAGGGCTGAGTCGTCCGCGAACAGGAACAAGTTGCAGTCACATGCTGATGACATGTCATTTACATAAATTAGGAACAGTAACGGACCTAATATGCTTCCTTTTGGAACACCACAGCTCACTGGGAGGGGGGGGACAGAGTACCGTTTACCTCCACCATCTGTTCTCTCCCCTCCAGGTAGGACCGCATCCAGCTCACCGATAGTTTATCAAAACCAATTGCTTTTAGCTTGTCAATCAGAATGGGGTGATTGACAGTGTCGAAAGCCTTTCGTAGGTCCAGCATCATCATGCCGCAGTACTTTCCCTCGTCCACCTCTTGTTTGATGTGGTCGCTCAAATAAAGAAGGCATGTGTCAGTGGAGTGAAAAAAATGTTCAAGTACTTGGCCATATCCAGTTTGTCTGTGATGAGCCGGTTATCTGTCTTTATGTTTAAGTTAGAAAATCTCGTTTTGAGTTTTTTACTGCAGCCAAGCTGGTTATTGAGTCATTTCCAAAGTTCACAGGGTTTATTTTTGTTTTCCTCAGTTTTGACATTGATGAAATTCTTTTTGGCAGTTTTGATCATGGAGCTTACGTCATTTCTTAGTCGGTTTCTTTGCACTTTGAGTTCAGTCACGTGGGCCTGGAGTTCACTGCTCGTGCTTTTGGAAAGCATTGACTGACTTTTATGAAACTCAGAGCATTTTTTGTCTCTGGTTTTCATGGCGGTCAGTATGCCGGAGTGCATCCACGGCTCAGCGCGATGTGTTACCCTGGTTGTTCTTAGGGGGGCCAAATCATTGAGTATTGCAGAGAATTAGTTTTTGAAACCAAGCCATGTTTCTTCAACTTGTGTACCACTGAGCTCATCTGACCAGTCCAGGCTCTCCAGTTCTAGGTTAAAGGCCTCGCTAGAGTAGTGTTTGAGGTCTCTAGATATGACTGTTTTGTGACAGCCGGCCCTTTGTTTTAGCTTTTTGCGGGTACAGAATATCATATAATGATCACTTAACCCGCATGCTATAACCCCTTTACTGGAGATCCTGGACCTGCCAGAGGTCAGAATGAGATCAATGGTAGTTTGTGTTGTTTCACATACCCGGGTGGGTTGGGTGATTAGCTGGCTGAAGCCGTGCAGATCACAAATCCCACTGAAGGACTTGAAGACGGACGTGTCTTTACGTTGCATATCCGTGTTCCAGTCTCCAATAATAATTGTCTCTACATCCCCCACATCAGCCAAACACCCATCTAATGTATCATAAAAGCCACTCTGTTCCGGTGGTCTATAGATTGTTTCTATTACAGATTTAGCATTGTCAAAAAGAATTTCAACCCACAGATTCAATATTTTCATGATGCAGGTCAGTACGGTTTTTGAAATTGGTGTCTTTATGTATGTACATGCAGACACCACCTCCATTCACGTTCCTGTCCCTTCTCACTACAAGATAATCTTCAATTTCAATCTCTGAATCTGTAATGGCATTGTCCAGTTTGGTCTCAGAAAAGCATAATATGCTTTCCTTACCGTTCATGAATAGCTGCCTGAGTTCAGCCACTTTGTGTCTCAGGCTGTTCGTGTTCAGATGAAACATATGTAGTCACTCAGAGTACTTCATGATGTGAGAGTATCACTCAGAGTACTTCATGATGTGAGAGTATCACTCAGACTCAAACTTACAGCTGATTAATAACGGTATCTAACTTGAGTTTTTATCATATCAAAAACCTGTTGAAATGCTACTGTTATTTTTATTACGCATCGGCAGCCTCCAGGCACGCTTCTTTCACAACTTCGCCGTCTTTGAAAGACTTCATGTGTTTCTCAAGAACGTGCCTGACACGATAAGATGCTCTGGTAGCAGCCTTGCTCTTGTTGTTGACCTGGTGAAAATGGACTGCTGTGCATTTAGCTGTCCTCTCAGGCCCCTCCCCTTTTGGAGCGTAGGGCAGAATTAGGAGGGAATTCCGTCTCGTAGCGTTTGTGCACTGTTTTGAAATGCCGCTCCTAAATTACCCTTCTTCGATAAAGCCACGCTCGCATTGCAGATGAGACAGATGGACTTTGAATTGGAATAGATACAAATATAATCATCCTCCCACTCGGAGTGAAAATTATATATGTTTTGCTTCTGCCATAATTGCGGTCTTGTGTTGTTTGTGTGCGGACTGTCACTCCTGTTGACACGGATAACGTTAGCGAACTAGTGCACTGCCCACTGCTCACCAGCCACGCCCCGACACATGGGGTCACGCCGGCCAATCACAAAGCTTTGATGCGTTCAAGTGCATTATTCTGGCACAGGAAGATTATGTTACAGGACATTAACGATAAAACAGAATATTGTTGTTCTATTTTTAGACACATCTCGCGATCGACTGGGAATCTCCCCGCGATCGACCGGTCGATCGCGATCGACTGGTTGGGCACCCCTGGATTAGGGCATGTAATAACTCGACATCTGAATTGAAGCCATCCAAAGTCACATGGCAGCTGTTCTTTGGATCCTGAAGGCCTGTTATGGTTTTCAAAAGTACAAAAATACAATACAACAACATATTGTTCTGTAAGATAAAGATTTTCTTTCTTGGTATCTTTGCTCTTCAGGGAGAAAAGATGGAGACACCTAGAGAAGTCCTATTAACAACTTTAGAACATTTGGAGGAAAAGGACTTAAAAAAATTCAAGTGGTTCCTGGAGAAGAAGGTCCTAACATTCCCAGGAATCCCAAAGAGTCGACTCGAGAAAGCAGCAGACCGGATGGACACAGTGGATCTGATGCTTCCCTACTACGGCATACACACCATTAAAGTGACCATAGACGTTTTGAAAGAGATCCCGAGGAATGATCTTGTCGAGGAATTATCAAAATTCCCATCAGACCCTGAAGGTAGGTCTTTAAAAAAGAGTTTACCAAATATATATATAACTTTTTTTATTGTTCACTCCTGATATACCCCTCAGAGAACCATCACCCCCACATGGTGTTGGGGCTGAGGTACCCCTGAAAGCAGAGAGGTCAGGGTCACTAGTTTCTGGCAGGGTCACCCTGTTGGTTCCAGGTGAGGGGTAGTAAAACCTTTATAGATCAGCATTTTAGAAATCCAATTACCTTTCCTGGATTAGGAAGTTTGGGTTTCGGTAAAATTGTCCAAAACACATCTTCTTTCGTCTCTTCCTAACCACAATTCCTTAACCTCTGTGAAACATCTTGGGGTTAATGATAGGAAGATTCATCAGGAAAAGAAACTGCTGTGCTTTGAGAGTCCGACCGCACTGACACTATCCAACGTCATTATGATTAGCAGCCGATGTTATTAAGAAGGAGAAGACGCTTTATTTCCTCCCAAAGGGGAAATTCAGCTCAGTTGTTCACTCGGTTGTGGTAACAGACAGTACAATACACACACATGCACAGGACAGGTGAGAGAGGCCTGAGCAAAACAGACGGCCAGTCTGTCCAGCGCCAGGGAGCAGTTGCGGGTTCTGTGCCTTGCTCAAGGGCAGGAGGTGAACTGGCACCTCTCCAGGAACCTGTCTACACTCCGTATTATTTTGGTCCGATCGGGACTCCAACCGGCGACCCTTCGGTTCCCAACACAAATTCCTGCAGACTGCGCCACTTAAACACTCTGCTGCATTGGCTGGGAATCTAACCCGGGCATCCAGGTGAGAATTCTACCACTGAACCACCAATGCTATTTCAATCAGGAGAGACGTTGATGTATGAAATACATATTTACTACCGGGACTCATAATGTGAATGTAATAATGATTGCCAGAATTATAACAGGAGAATGGAACGGTGTTTGGCGATTAGGCCCCGGTTTGCAGGATAATCATTCAGGAGGGGAAGAACCGCTCTGATGAAACCCCCCAAAAGAAGTGAAGTATGATATACTGAGATGTAATGAGTTTCTTAGCTTGTGGGCTGACTGCAGTGATCTGTGGAGGAAATGAGAGATTAACACGTGGATCAAGCAATTTGCCAGAATCAACTGCCGGGCTTACAGTCCATCCTAAGATGCTGACTGCCGAAATCAGTGCCAGGCTTATATGAAAACGACCCGAAGGTCGCCTGCCTGGCTACGCAGGGCTTGACTACGCCAACACGATGGTCGGACGGCCTGATGAAGCAGGGATCTTTATTACGAAGAGACGGAGGTCTACACAGACACGAAGTCTACACAGACACGATGGTCAACAGCCTGACGTCGACGTAAACATTACCCAGACCAGAAATCAGTGCCTGCAGAGCAGGGGGACATAGACCCGTGGCTTGAAATACGAACATGTGACACGAACATTATTTCCCGGGGATACGAGCCCATAAACTTAAATAGACATGCAATTAAAATCCAGAATCATGATGAGAGACACGTATAGCCTACATGCTGACGTGCTATGAAACCACCACCAGCTTTATGCATAAATCCCAGAGTTAAGGGTTGAAGAAATGCCTTGATTGGCAGCAGAGGTCGCTGCACCTATCTTGACGAAAGCCCTGATATGCTATTAAGACACCACCACCAGTTATATGCATATTTACCATAGGTAAGCTGGAGAGATCTTGGATTGCCAGCACGAGCCGATGTCCGGGCGAAGAGGGAGATGTAGACAATGTAATGCACGTGAGCTGTTAGCTGGAGTACAGTGATGCATGAATGTCATAACCTGGCTTAACAGCAAGCCATGTGAGCATGAAGCCGAGAATATGAATGAAGTGCAGGAGGCACGCATAAAATGACATACGCTTAGTTAAATACTGAAACATGACCCATGATATAGGTCTAGCTTGATTAGCAGACACCAGGATGAGTCATAGATGCTGATGAGCTGATTGAGTGATTAAGACTGTCTTCTATCATCTGAAGTGAGAATGATGGAGGGACGTTAGTGTTAGATCCAACGAGTGTGATAATAAATGTTTAAACAATGGTGGAAATCTGAGCGTGCCGCTATGCGGATGATCTCGTGCAGGGAAGAGTCGCTACTGAAGAGAGTGGGCTCGAGACTGCGACTCGCTTACCCTGCGAGATTCCCCCCAAAACGAAGTGCAGTGCACGTCCTTAAGAGTCGGGGAAGAACGCGGTCGTCGTGAGGCCGGCGGATGCCACCTCCAGGAAGCGGGAGATGATGGCGTGCCGAAGATTATCCGTATGCGAAGTACGGTTGCCCGGTGAGGAAGAGCGACTGTCGTTGGAGATGTTTGCTGTATACCTTGACGTTATGTGGATGCACGCAGTTTGGTTAGAGGAACGTTAATTACCATGAGCTTGATGTGATGCCTAGGAACTCCAGGTGTGTGACTGGGCCTATAGTTCCTCATGATTAGGAACGCTGTGCTCCTGGAGGAGTCTCTTCTTCGTTCTTCTTCTCTCTTCTCTCTTCTTCTCTTTTCCCAGTTGAGCGGTGTTAGGTTAGTAATGTTGTATTTGAACACTAGATGGCGTAAAAGAGCAACGCATTAGGGGATCTCCCTGGGCAGTGGGTGATTGAACTGGGGAGAGACAACTATTAACATTATTTGCCCGAGTAGCCGGTGCACGAGTAGTTTCTCCTAATACTTGAGGCTGAAAGAGCTCCGCTGAACGGATGATGGGAACTTTAAAGCGCGTCGTTAATATCTGCTTTGAAGAGCCAGCCTTGGCCTGCACGCTATTAAGATGACATTATCTCCGTGCGTAGAAAGGGGGAACATTGACCTTGTCATCGAGATTACCCTGGGCAATACCAGTCATGCTAGTAGCCTACGCTAAAGTGAATAGAGTTGTAACGAGCAGTAGCGCTGAACAAAGTGACTGAACGCGACCGCACCTTGGAACATCTATACAAGTCAGGCAGCGCTAACCAGTACTGAGATTCTGTTGATTGTGTAGGAAACGGTTTAATGCCACGAGATAGTGACAAGTAGTCAAGATAACTGAGTAGCTCGGTTGCTTAGCAACATCACCTGTAGAATGCCAGAGAACCTTAATGACGGCGTTGTGATGCCGACGGCGTAAATTAATTCTGAAACACATCGCTATGAGATGGGGAATAATGATCAGCTGCTTGTGTGACAGTCGGACAGTGAGTGCTTAACGGCGACCGCTGCCGTGTGAGTTAACAGTGGAATAAGCTGCGGTGCACAACGCACTGCAGCGGCGTTAATGCCGCTGAACCACATGATAACCGATGCATAACGGCATCCTAGAAAAGTATAAGGTTGAAGAAGTAGCCTAGTTCTTAATTGAATCTGCTTCGTATGATTAAAACTACTCGACGCAATCGTCTATTGATGTTTGTTTGACAGCGGTATTGGGAGAAAACGGCGACGTAAACGTCATGACGCAAACAATGACGCAATATTTCCCCTTGAACCTAATTCACCTCTGTAATGTTTACGGATTTAAAAGTGGATCAGAACTGTAAACAGATTTGGACAGTGCTGCCGAAAAGTGTTGTTGTCGTAGATCCAGCCGTTGGTGCGCCGAGAAACTGAATATTTCTTAGAGGAAAAAAGAACATCTCGTGAATTTGCAAACTGCCTCTTGCCAGCGCTACACCTGACGCCTTGTTTTAGAGGTGAGGCGCAGGAGAGAAGAGGCGAGAGCCTGGGCTGTGCAATGAACCTGCTAGCCGCCTATGACGCACTTAGTGTCCAGTACTGACTACTGAGCCGGGAAGAGAAGTAGCTTCTATGGGATGTAGCTTAAGCCCTGCCAATGGGAGGGGCTGTGGTTCAAGCCAGAAATGTGTAAAGCTTCGCATGCGATGAGGGCCCGTTCCGCGTGAAGCCGGAAGCGCCGCATTTGAGCGGCCCTGATGCCAGTGATGCCCTCTCGAGAAACTGAAGGCATGCGTCAATTGTTTGCATGAAGTACGCCATTTCCATTCATCCGGAGGAACTTCCGTGGAGCCGGATTTCCTTGTCCTTTCCTCCCGCGTCCGGGTTTGCGAGGTGGCCAGCTGGAACCGTTAACCGCGCTGGGGAACGCCGCCTGTAGCTTTATCCGCAAGACTGTGGAGCTGATGAAGATATGCCTGGAGCTGGAACGAAGCTCTGCTGCTGCAGTTGGGGAAGGAGGAGCAAGTGGGCTGCTGGGGGATACCGAGCGCAGTTTGAAAAAGTCGAATCTCAGGCCTTGAGTCGGCCCGGATCAAGATCCCTGTTCGTGGTCTGAGTACTCTGAATCGGAAAAGAGAAGGTGGCGAAAGGGGTGGAGGAGGGTTGAGTTTTGTCACCTGAAATGACAGCTGACAAGAGGGAAGAGCAGATATAAAGGGATTAGCGGGTGCAACGATAGGCTTGTGAGAATGGAGAGAGGAGAGATTGGTTAGCTGGGGAGTAACGCCCCCGATCACTTAATGAGGGAGGAGAGGGTAATGAAGTGACGTGTAATCTGAATGAAGAGCTTGGTCTTCCTGATTGAACTTGCGCTAAACTTCATATTAACGAGTTTATCCTGGTGGGACATTGGAGATATGTAATACAAGTGGGTCATGCTGAAAGCCAGTGTTGGGGAGGGGATGGATCAGAGGAATGACCAGAAAGTCATCAGTGTGCTCTGAAATGGCAGTGAGTCTTTGAGTGCTACGTTTTCCCAGGAAACGGCCATTTCTGTTTGGAATGAGGTTCGTCCTGCCGAACTGTCAGATCTCTCAGGAGGAGGAGTCATGGATAAACCCCGGCTGTTTTCCACAGTGTAGGTTAGCTGCTGACTCAGTCTCAGGATGTTGAATGGGACTGTCCTAGTCATTACTAATGGCCCAGCCGCCTACAGGTGGAAGGGGGTATTCTTTGCCATCCTACATGACTTGGTGAGGAAGGGAGGGGTTATTACTGGGACCCCCCAGGGTCTGCAACACAGTAAGAGCCATCCACTTCCTGTATAGCTAGAGAGAGAGCTGTGTCCACACCCTCAGTGGGTGTTTGGATCTGCTGGTAGCAGCAGGAATAAGAGTCAGTCAGGTTTAGGGCCATGGTTCTCTGTGGGAAAACAGATGGTTCTCTGTGGGGTGCAACTTATACTGGACAATGTACGGATAAATATGCAACACGATCCAGTGACTTGATATGAGGAAAATAACCTGCTATTTGTCAGAAATGGGTCCAATTAGAAGGTAATCTTTTGATGTGTCTTTCGTGTAAATGTCTTTCTTATTCACTCAGATATTCTCACGAAGTGCCAAGGTGAACTCAAATCAAAACTGAAGGAAACATTTGAAAATATCACATTTATGGACAAATCTGAAACCCTACATAAAATCTACACGGAGATCTACATCACCAGGGGAGACACCACAGAGGTCAACAAGGAACATGAGGTCAGACAGATCGAACAAGCATCCAGTAAACCAGACAGACCAGAAACACCCATCAGCCAAGAAGACCTCTTTAAAGGCTCAACTGAAAGAGGTAAACCAATCAGAGCAGTGATGACAAAGGGAGTGGCTGGCATTGGGAAAACAGTCTTAACACAGAAGTTCACTCTGGACTGGGCTGAAGGCAAAGCCCACCAGGACATCCAGTTCATATTTCCATTCACCTTCAGAGAGCTGAATGTGGAGAGTGATGAAAAGTACAGCTTGGTGGAACTCGTTCATCACTTCTTCTCTGAAACCAGAGACGCAGGAATCTGCAGGTTTGATCAGTTCCCGGTCGTGTTCATCTTTGACGGTCTGGATGAGTGTCGATTTCCTCTGGACTTCCTCAACACTGAGATCCTGACTGATATCACAAAGTCCACCTCAGTGAATGTGCTGCTGACAAACCTCATCAGGGGGAAGCTGCTTCCCTCTGCTCGCCTCTGGATAACCACACGCCCTGCAGCAGCCAATCAGATCCCTCATGAGTGTGTGGACATGATGACAGAGGTCCGAGGGTTCACTGACCCACAGAAGGAGGAGTACTTCAGGAAGAGATTCAGAGATCAGGAGAAGGCCGGCACCATCATCTCCCACATCAAGACCTCACGAAGCCTCCACATCATGTGCCACATCCCAGTCTTCTGCTGGATCTCTGCTTCAGTTCTGGAGGACATGTTGAAAACTGAGGGAGGAGAGCTGCCCAAGACCCTGACTGAGATGTACATCCACTTCCTGGTGGTTCAGTCCAAAGTGAACGTCAAGTATGATGGAGGAGCTGAGACAGATCCAGAGAGCAGGAAGATGATGGAGTCTCTGGGGAAACTGGCTTTTGAGCAGCTGCAGAAAGGCAACCTGATCTTCTATAAGTCCAACCTGAGAGACTGTGGCATCGATATCAAAGCAGCCTCAGTGTACTCAGGAGTGTTCACACAGGTATTTAAAGAAGTGAGAGGAACGTACAAGGACAAGGTGTTCTGCTTCGTCCATCTGAGCGTTCAGGAGTTTCTGGCTGCTCTCCATGTCCATCTGACCTTCATCAACTCTGGAGTCAACCTCATGGCCCCCTGGTGGTCTAAAGCAGTGGTTCCCAAATTTGTTGTGCCCAAGGCACACCAAAGGACAAGTAAAAATCTCAAGGCACACCTATTGTGCAAAACAGCCCTTATAACAAGTGTTATCACTCATATCATGTAAAATATCTGTAAATGTGCATAATTATTTACTAATGCCAAATAAAATGTGACAAAGACAACTATATTACTCATGAAATATTTATTAACGAAATATTTCAGAAATTAATTTGAAACTTTATCAAATTAGGTTTCATCAAAGCAGCAACACACTCATTTCAGCAATCAGCATTGAAACATGTGCTATTGTAAATATTTTTGCCGACTTACAAATTAGTGAGATACATGTGCCTGTCGGGGCGTGCAGAATCCTGGCACTGAGGAGAGGGCCACTCGCAAGACCTGTTCAACAGAGAGCCGTGAGTCCCGTGACCTCCTGTTGTTCTTCATGTAAACCAGAGTAGAGAACGCCAACTCCAGAGATGGGGTCGTTACTCATTTTTTTTAATATATTACATATTACTTTTAAAAAAGTAATATATTACACTACTTCGTTACTATCTACATAAAGTAACTCGTTACTTTACTCGCCGAGCACGTACGAACTTGCGCATGCCTGAGTGGCAATAACTTTCCTTACCAGCAGGCGGCGGTAGTGTGTATTTGTCATTCAAAACAGGCAACAACCGGAAAACAGAGAAGAAGAATAGACGACGTGATATAAACAAACAACAAATAGCTGTGCGGTAGCTTCACCTTAGCATTTGTTCTTTGCAGGTGCTTGTTGAGGTTTGACCACGTGGTGTTTCCAGCAGTGGATAACAGCTGCTGGCCTGGACACAGTTTGCACCTCACCGTCACATTCCTGTCTATTCTTCGGACGAACTCAAAATAATGGGCAGACCTCCACCCCTCCAAAGTTATCGCTGACTCAGCCATGTTTATGCAGCACTGCACGTGAGATGTGGACGCACAAGTCGCGCAGATTACGTACATATAAACCTACAAAGTACTGATATTATAGTAAATAAAAAATTATTATTTTTGTGTAGTTGTATATTGCAATAATAACGTATGGTTGTCACAAAATCCCACGGCACACCCGGACTTGCCTCACGGCACACCAGTGTGCCGTGGCACACCGTTTGGGAACCACTGCTCTAATGCATCAATAATAATCAAAACATGTAATATATATTATTCTGAAATAGACCAACCTGCATAATGAATACTTTTGGTATTTGAAGTATATTTTGATGCTTATACTTTTGTACTTTTACTTGAGTAACATTTTAAATGCAGAACTTTGACTTGTATCTGAGTTTTCCTATACTCTGGTACTTCTACTTTTATTTAAGTAAAAGTTCTACGAGTATTTCTCCCACCTCTGGATGTTATTGCATTTATCACAAACATGACTCACTGAATCACCTACAATTAGCACCATCAAATCAGCAGCAGTCAACTGAGAAGATGTGACTGTAGCAACTCAAGCTGTCACATAACTTCCAAAATAATTGTATATTAAATGTAATTGCCCCGCCTTGGTAAATGTTACCTTGTTTGGTTTGCTTATATGCTTAAATGTGTTAATAGGTGTTTCAGAGTTCAGGTAAAACAAGTTGGAGGTATCCATGCTAATCTTTAACTGGCATAATGTTTTGTGATTTAAGTAATTTTTACGAGATGTACATTTTAAATTCTACAAGTTTCTCTTATGTTCAAGTGTCAGGTCATATACTACTTCCTAGACCTTTTGTTCTGTGTGTGTATTTCGGGACTATGTGTGTAATTGTAATAACACCAGTGAAACACTGAATTTCCCCTCAGCGATATAATAAAATGTGATCATAATCATTTTTCCACACGGCTCTAAATTCTCTACCATCCCTCCCACCTCTCCTCCTAATGTCAGTATGTGTATATACGTATGTCTCTAAGTTTGATTATGTGTATGTGCATATATATATATATATAAGAGGGTGTATAGGAGTTTATGTATGTGTGTATATATATATATACACACGTATATGTACCTATATATGTATTAGATATTTATGTGTATTCCTCTGGATTGTGAGGAACAGCATTTCTCCCTGTCTGTATCTCATACACAGAAGATTGAAAATAAAGTTGACTTTGACCATCTTAAATAATATATTTTTTTAGAACAGATCCCACTAAAATATCACTATGTTTAAATCATAACAATGTAGTTGCTCCCTTCACTGGCTTCCGGTAACTGCTAGAATCCACTTCAAGACACTGGTACTTGCTTACCGTGCTGCGAATGGATCTGGCCCTTCCTACATCCAGGACATGGTTAAACCGTACACCCCAGCGCGTGCACTACGCTCTGCATCAGCCAAACGACTCGTTGCGCCCTCGCTGCGAGGGGGACCCAAGTTCCCATCGGCGAAAACACGTGGGTTTGCTGTCCTGGCTCCAAGATGGTGGAATGAGCTCCCCATTGACATCAGGACGGCAGATAGCTTGCACATCTTCCGGCGCAAACTGAAAACTCATCTCTTTCGACTCCACTTCGAGCGATAGAACTATTAACGAAGCACTTATATACTAATAAAGGACTGGCTTACCTAAAGCCAGTTGAGTAGCACTTGAAATGTTTGGCTCTATGAAACCTGATGTACTTATATGATTCTGTTTTCTTCAAGGTTGTGTCTTCCTGGTCGAATGTACTTATTGTAAGTCGCTTTGGATAAAAGCGTCAGCTAAATGCAATGTAATGTAATGTAATGTAATGTAGAAACTACACCAATCGTGAGTGAATTATGTCCCAGCTCCATGCTGATTATGTACAGAGTAATGCTATTGAAGAGGCCTAAATGTATAAAAGACTCACAGATAAAACACACTCACAACTGCAAGTTTGAGTTCAGTACATTTAATTGTTAATTAATTCATTCCACATTTGCTCAAGTGCAGAGTCATACTCAATGTAAAGCTTTAAAAAATACAATCTCAGTCATCTCTGACGGGACGTGAGTGCTTCCATCCATCCATCCATCCATCTTCTCCCGCTTATCCGTGGTCGGGTCGCGGGGGTAGCAGTTCCAGCAGAGAGCCCCAAACTTTCTTTTCCCTGGCGACATCAACCAGCTCTGACTGGGGGATCCCAAGGCGCTCCCAGGCCAGCGAAGAGATATAATCCCTCCACCTGGTCCTAGGTCTACCCCTTGGTCTCTTCCCAGCTGGACGTGCCTGGAACACCTCCCTAGGGAGGCGCCCAGGTGGCATCCTAACTAGGTGCCCGAACCACCTCAACTGGCTCCTTTCGACGCGAAGGAGGAGCGGCTCAACTCCGAGTCCCTCCCTGATGACCGAACTTCTCACCTTATCCCTAAGGGAGACACCAGCCACCCTGCGGAGAAAACCCATCTCGGCCGCTTGTATCCGCGAGAGTGAGTGCTTCCATGTAGATTTAAAAAAAAAAAAAATACAGTATATGACGGATAAACCTTCTCTTTAGAGTCATGTTCTTTGATAAACCTGTAAAGTAAACACTGAGAAACCGGGCAGCATAACTGGTCAACGTCAAATATATTTTCATTCATAGTTAGGTAGTGTAACATTCGACAAAATACATGTGCATTTCTCTTTTTCTGTGTAAACACCACTGTCTATTTTATTTTGTTTGTAAAGTGTGACATACTGTATATTACCCTTTTAGAGGCGAGCCTTCACATTAACTGTAGCATGAATAACCACCTTTCTCTTGGCACCTGAATTATCCTCAACATCACCCTTGAGACAGCAGCAGCACGTTATGCTCCACATCATCAGACAATCTTCCGTTTTAGAAATAGCTCAACAGTTTTACAATACTTAACATCTTTTCCTCAAATTAAAAAATAGTTTGGATCATCGACTGTACACAATACCAAAAACAATGTGCTTTTCCCCATATAGTGTATAGTACTGATATGCCCTCCAAGACTGTAGTAACAGTGTGCTCATCTCCCTTTGTCTCTTGAGCAGGGGTTGTAATCACAGAATGCGTCAAGGAGGCCTCTCTCCGTGAAACTTTCGGTGTCTGCCTGCTGTTCTTTTTCTAGGCCACGTTGACACAGGCGTTGTGCTTGTTGCTCTGCAAGCGATTCCAGTACTTGATGAGTTCATTGGGGTGGAACTGATGGGACGTAATCAGGTGGCTGTACTTACAACTGGAGTAAGACACCCGCCAATGGTTGAAGAGGAACTCGTTGGGAGGAGGGGCCGGGTCGATGCGCAGCTCGGCCAGGCAGATCCCCACGTAAACGTCCTCCAGGTGCAGCCTTCGTATGCTCAGGGACGCCTGGTAGATCAGATCGGCCATGTCCCCTGAGAACACATACCCCGTGCCCGAGCAGAATATCGGATAACGCTCGCTTGGATACAGCTCGGGCGGCATGTACCACTTGCTGTCCTTGTTTCGGTTTGGTGCATAGCCCCTCATCAGGTAGCCGGTGAAGTACCTCTGTTTGGGAGGTAGCTTGGGCTTAAGCAACTTTTGGATGAGATACTCGGTATTGACAAACACGTCGCTGTCTGTCTTCATCACGTAGGAGGCGTGTGGGCAATAGGTGGCCACCCAGTTCATGCCCATCAGCGTTTTGATGGTCAGGTTATAGTAAGTGTCCTGATAGTCCTGTTGGATGATGTCGTGGTGAACAAGGCTCTCTTCCTCTATGCTGCTCTGCAGGTAGGTGTCTGAGCTCTTTCCAGTGCCGAGCAGGAAAAGACGGACAAACCCTAAGCCCATTGAGTTGCTCTCATTTCCCCATGTCTGACGGATGGCATTACGGGCATCGGCCTGTCCGGGTTCTGCAGCGATCAGGACGATGATGAAGGGCGTCCTGTCCCTGCACTTGACAGGCTCGTTCAGGATGTAGCGGTAGGGCTGAGCATTGAGCCTCCCTCCCACACCCATCTCCTTCTGTAAACTGTTGTTGGTGCTCATGGAGTCCCCAAGTCCCATTACCCCCATCCTGGAACCCCCTCCGCCTCCTGCTGCTGCCTCCCCCGCAGCCCCATCTGCCTGCTGAGAGCTGAGGTTGAGAAGAGTCTTTGGTGCCACATACCCCGTGTCCCTCCACAGGCTCCGCAGGGAGCTGCTCTGGTTGGCTTCGCCTTTGGGGCTGCGGAAGCCCCTGACAGTGTAGGCCAGTGGGTTTTCCCGGGGCCCGCTGCGTCCCGGAAGCCAATCCTGATGGCTGAAAAATAAGAAAAGGGTGAAGAGTAGAGCCAGCGAGAGGAGGCCGGCCACATGGGTCCTGAAGAGCGACCGCTTGACGGTCCAGGTCATGTTGATGGGACAGCAGTGCCGCCGTCTCCACTGCATGGTGCAGATCGGGGTCGCAGGAAGCTGCTGCTGCTCGAGAATGGGCGGCGGCAGTCACTCACAGTCACCTCAAACATGTGGTTGCCAACTATCAGAGGGTTATCTGAGCTGACAGATGGGTTGGAGTGAGCCTCCTGGTGGAGTCAGGGGAACGTTTGAGCCCCCCAGTGCAGCTTGCAGCAGGGTTAAAAGAGCTCAATGGAGCAAGGAAAGCAATGTTTCTCTGGCCATGAAGGCTTCTCCCTGGCTCTTCTTTGGAACTGTAGACAAACACAAGGTCATGCCCGATGTCTCGTCTCCTTCAGGATATGATAAGGGTCACCTCCTCTGTGTTTGCTGTCTCTAATCTGAAAAGAGAAAAAAGGAACAGATACAAATGTTGGCATCGGTCTGAAATAAACCCCAAATTGCTGGCACTGAGCCACATGTCAATGCCTGATTGTAGATGTGTTATTTATTATACTTGCGGGGAGAGCCGAGCATATTTCTTAATCATTTTATTTATGGTTTGTTTTGACAGAGACATTCTGAATGAATGTCTTCCAGATGCAAAAGCCCCAATTAGAGCTTTTCTGTGAATGCAGCAGCCACTATGGTGAATGGCTCTTTTGATAAGCTGACTTTACATTTTGAAAGGGAGAAGCTGAATCAATATGACAGCTTTGTTTGTAGCATCTTTGATTGGACGGGGACGTGAAACACAGCAGGCTCTGGGGATGTGATGGGAAAAATATATATGAGATTTAGAAAATACTGTTGCCAGCAGGGCAGTGGCAGAAGGGAAGATTACTGCTATAAATGTTACCTTGCATACAGTGCACCTGTATGGTGGAAAATAGGCTGCCACCTAATGTGTGCGTTATTGCTCATACAGCATAACACACGTTGTTTGCACCATTCTCACAGTAAATACAACATACTAAATGAGCATATTATGCTAGTACTTTTTTACAGTGAGTGAAAACAAGAGAATGTCTTAGATAAACACATCAAAGACTCTAAAAACAGTGAAGAATGGAAAATACAATTCCTCCTCGAAACACTTCCTATTTTTAAATCCCGACTAAAAAGGCACCTATTTGCCGCTGCTTTTAATTGAGCTGCCCACACTAGTGTTGTCACGATACCAACATTTTGGTTTCTATACCAAGTCAAGAATTGCGATTCTGATTGTTTTTCGATACTTTTCTTTTATTATTTTCATGATCAATACAATTGTAGTTTATCTGTTAAGGGTTTTCTTACAACATGGTCTCTTCTTTATACTTGAGTTTATGTGATTTCTTTGATAGTTAACTTTATATTTTATTAGCATGTAATAGTACGGTAATATTAAAATTATTGACAAAATGTACATTGCAGATGTTAGCCACATTGGTAAGTTAGCTAAAAAGATAGCCATATTAGACAGTTATCATCAGAGGTGGGACCAAGTCATTGTTTTGCAAGTCCGAGTCAAGTCCGAGTCAAGTCTCAAGTCAGACTTGCAAGTTCAAGTCAAGTCCGAGTCAAGTTCAAGTCAAGTCCGAGTCAAGTCTCAAGTCAGGATGGGCAAGTTCAAGTCAAGTCCGAGTCAAGTTCAAGTCAAGTCCAAGTCAAGTCCAAGTCAAGTCCAAGTCAAGTCCAAGTCCTAAACTTTGACAAAACGAGTCATAAACAAGTCATTATGTGATTTTCACCAAATGTAATGACATCGATCAACAGAATAATACTTAATAATCAAATTGCTCTTTATTAGTCAAATTAATAATTTAATAATCAATTTTCTCTCTGCTGGTAAAGTAACGTGTTTTTCTTCTATTTGAAGAGGGAAAAATAAGGTAAGGCTACCGTGACGGTTTGATTCAGAAGGAGTTTAATTGATAAGATCCCTGATGTTGAGGTGACCAGAATGTTTATGTTGTAAGGGACCCACAATCTTTATGCAAGGGATAATGTGCAGCCAGGCGGTCTCTATGGGGAAGAGAACACCTGCATCTAGATCCCTCTGCAGGTGGTACTTTAACTATATTTTGATGCTAATACTTTTGTACTTTTACTTGTAACATTTTGAATGCAGGACTTTTTATTGTAACCGAGTATTCCTACACTCTGGTACTTTTGTACTCAAGTACAAGATCTGAACTTCTCCCACCTCTGACAGTAAATCCTGAGTGGTTACCAAAATAAAGGTAACCAAAAAAGGTTATTTTCATTTTACAAATCCTGCACTCAGCTTTGCTTTCTCCAATATCATTGAAATGCAGCCAGATGCTGCTTCTTTTTTCGGTTTTCGCTCATTTCTTGACTTTTTCCGACGCACTTGCATTTAAATCCGTCTCCCCGTCGCTCTGTGCAGCTGGCCTGTACTACTACACCTGCTGTGCCCCCCACCCTTCTTTCACATAATGGTATGATCCTAGTGTGTCCTCGCATATGATCACTGTAACGCCGTTATCTTTGGCAGTAACTGGTACTCTAACGCAGTGGTTCCCAAACGTGTTGTGCCCAAGGCACACCAAAGGACAAGTACAAATCTCAAGGCACACCTATTGTGCAAAAATAGCCCTTATAACACGTGTTATCACTCATATCATGTAAATTATCTGTAAATGTGCATAATTATTTACTAATGCCAAATAAAATGACAACTATATTACTCATGAAATATTTCTTAACGAAATATTTCAGAAATTAATTTGAAACTGTATCAAATTAGGCTTCATCAAAGCAGCAACACACTCATTTAAACCAGACAGGTCACAACATTAAAAATGAGGCAAAGGAAACTCAGCAGTAATTCAGCACAGAGAACTGTCAATGCAAGGAAGCTGCACTGCATGGTCCTGAACTACACATTATAAATGTAACATTTCAGCAATCAGCATTGAAACATGTGCTATTGGAAATATGTTTGCCGACTTACAAATTAGTGAGATACATGTGCCTGTCGGGGCGCGCAGAATGTTTTAATCCTTGGTGGCACTGAGGAGAGGGCCACTCGCAAGTCCTGTTCAGCAGAGAGCCATGACCTCCTGTTGTTCTTCATGTAAATCAGAGTAGAGAACGCCAACTCCAGAGATGGGGTCGTTACTAAAAAAATGTAATATATTACACTACTTCGTTACTATCTACATAAAGTAACTCGTTATTTTACTCGCCGAGCACGTACGAACTGCACATGCGTGAGTGGCAATAACTTTCCTTACCAGCAGGCGGCGGTAGTGTAAATTTGTCATTCAAAACAGGCAACAACCGGAAGAGAGAGAAGAAGAACAGACTGCGTGATATAAACAAACAAATAGCGTGTGCGGTAGCTTCACCTTAGCATGTGTTCTTTGCAGGTGCTTGTTGAGGTTTGACCACATGGTGTTTCCAGCAGTGGATAACAGCTTCTGGCCTGGACACAGTTTGCACCTCACCGTCACATTCCTGTCTATTCTTCGGACGAACTCAAAATAATGGGCATACCTCCACCCCTCGAGAGTTATCGCTGACTCAGCCATGTTTATGTAGCACTGCACGTGGAGATGTGGACGCGCAAATCGCGCAGATTGCGTACATATAAAGCTACAAAGTACTGATATAGTAAATAAAAAAAAAATTATTTTTGTGTAGTTGTATATTGCAATAATAACGTATGGTTGTCACAAAATCCCACGGCACACCCGGATTTGCCTCACGGCACACCGTTTGGGAACCACTGCCTTAGACTTCACGAAAGACATTCAGGAAGTCAATCCTAAACTTGAAGACAGTCAGCAGAGTCAATTCTGTCTTTTTCTTTCATGTCTTGGTAACCTGACTTTAAAGAGCAGACACTGTCTCAGTCAGATCATAAAGTGGTCTAGACCAGGGGTTCCCAAACGTTGCCATGCCAAGGACCCCATATAGCATTATCTTCTGGCGCGGACCCCCCTGTTGCAATTATTTTTTTAAATGATGAGTTATGATGGAAAATATGACAAATTAATCATACAGCTTAATACATTTTCTCAATATATATTTGTATTGATAATTAATAGTGAGTTATTCTTCTAAAAAATATTTGTATTTATCTTTTGTTTGTCATTCATTACATTGATTGTGTCTTCTGTTATAAACATTCTTAACACAATATTAAACAGTAATATCAACAGTAAACATATTTTAAAGCATTTTTAAAGTGATTTCTGTCTTTATAATATTATATAATCTTGAACAGTAATATGAACAATTAACATTTATTTTTATCATTTTTGAAAGCGACTTATGCCTTAATAATATTATATATAATATTCAACAGTAATATTAACAATAAACATATTTATATTCATAGGCCTATATAAACATCAATATTTGCTGCATCCGTGCTCTCATCCGGCTGCAGAGCGAAACATTCACTCGCTCTCACTTGCTCCAAAAGCTGAGATACTCAGTTTCACTCTCAGTAGCGGCAGCTCGGTCCTGATTGGCTTGAAGGCGGTCGTGTGATTTAAAAAAATAAAATATTAATAAATAAAAAATATTAAAAGATTGGCATCAAAGGACACAAAGACTGACAGATTAATTTATGCAGTTATTAATAACATCTACAAAAAAAAAATGCAACTATAACAACAACAAAAAAATTCCCTCAAACTTTGCGTGGTCGGGTATACCCCACTTTGAAAAACACTGGGCTAGCAGACTGATTGGTGAGTCACGGCTAAACATGGAGCCCCTGCTCATCAGACAGTTACAGAGGCTGTCTAACTCCATGTTTAATGAAGACTCCCACCCCTGCAACCTGAATTTCAGCTTCTTCCTTCGGGCCGGAGGTTAATCTTCCTAAAGGTCTAGAACCAAGAGGTTTAAAAACAGCTTTGTCTGTGCTAGTGGTTTTCAATGTGTCTGTGTTGCTTGAAGCATGTGTCACCATGGATACCTTTTATTTGTTCTGCAAACCAAGTCTACCCACTGGTACAAAGAAATAACCTGGACCTGAACTGGACAGATTGGATATTGTGACAGTGGGATACAGTTAGGGCTGATGGTAGAGAGAGACTCACACACCTGGTTCTGGTCTCCGGCAGTAAGCTGGTTACTGGAGACAGGTTCAGGACCAGGTTCAGGACCAGGTTCAGGAGCAGGTTCCGGTTCAGATCCAGGTCCAAGTCCTTCTTCATATCCCTGTCCAGGTCCAGGTCCAGCAGAATGTGTTGTTTGCTCTTGGCTGGAACACAACACACATAGCTTTGAGTGAATAATGAGTGCTGAGCTTGACATAGACCATAGTCAGCTAACGTCTGCCCTCTCTTCTTCCCTATCCAGGCCCCATGCTGCACTCTCACTTGAAGAGCATGTGCACCGGTATAATAACACCCTGCATGAGTGCCTAGACAGGCTGGCACCTGAAATAAGCTGAGTGGTACATGGCGCTCTGCCCCATGGCACACTGACCAGCTCAGAGCGCACAAATCAGAGGGTCGGAAGATTGAGCGCAGATATAGGAAAACTGGCCTAACTGTCCACCTGCTCTCTTTCAGAGATCACCAGAAGGCCTATTCCTCGGCATTGAGAGCAACCAGGTCAGCCTACTACGCCAATCTGACTGAGACAAATCGTAACAAACCCAAGCACCTATTCTCCACAATGCATCGGTTGCTCAAGCCTAGTGATCCCTCATCAACCACTCCTACAACTGATGACTGCAACCGCTTTATGGAACTTTAAAAAACAAACCTCAGGCTTAACATCGCCAAAGCCTCCTCAAACCAACCTGTCTCTCCCCAACATCCTGTTCTTGCTCCACCAAATGCACCAACCCTAAACTGCTTCACGGAGGTCTCGCAAGCTGAGCTTTCAAAAATCATCTCAGCAATGACCTCATCTAGCTGCGCCCTTGATCCTATCCCCACCTCCCTACTGAAAGCCTGCTCTCCATCCATTATTCCAACTGCCACCATCAACTGCCACATCACATCACATGTCACTTGTTAGACGCTTTTATCCAAAGCGACGTACAGACTCAACACTGTGGGCAATCCCCACAGGAGCACTTTGGGGTGAAGTGTCTCAGGGACACAACGACATGCTGACTGCAGTGGGGTTTGAACCTGTGACCCCCTGACCCCAACACCAAGGCTCTATCCACTGCGCCACACGCCTCCCTCAAGCTGGCACCATCATAATTAACAAATCCTTGTTGAGTGGGTAAGTTGAGCCATTCTTTAGTAATGCTGTCCTCTAAGCAAGGAGAAATGACACATAGTAAAAATGAAAGCACACACCTCTAATTCAGGATGTCTCCTATCAATGGCAATGATAAGAATTAATATTTGATCAAGGGCAGTGAAAATATTACTTCTAAAAACTGGGGCTCAACTTGCCCCAGTGTAGGGGTGAGTTGATCCAGGTCAGGGGGTAAAATGAACCACTGTTCAAACCTGGGCATACAACACATCTTAAAGGTAACTATAAACAATCAATAACAAACCAAATACAAGCTTAGTTTCTCAAATATTTTTAAGATACATTTCGATTGAATTTATTTACGTGTTAAAAGTAAAAGGAAAAGTAATCATACAAATGGTGATACAATTTCATACATCTTACCGATCAAACACAGGGTAAATTCAACTTTAAATGTAGCCTACAATGAGCTCTTATTATCAACTTGGCCTGCTTTCATTAATTTCTCCATTGAAAAAGTGGCTCAACTTACCCCACGGCCCGTGGTTCACTTCACCCCACAGCCACCATTTTAGAACAAATAGCCTAGCATTAAAATGCAGAGTCATCTTTAGCGTAATGATTCACATGGTGTAACACGCTGCCAACACATCAACATATACAATATACACTGAACAAAAATATAAACGCAACACTTTTGTTTTTGCTCCCATTTTTCATGAGATGAACTCAAAGATCTAAAACATTTTTTATATACACCCCCCCAGACCCCCCCAATAAAGCAAAAGTGCACGTTTCAGAGTGGCCTTTTATTGTGGCCAGCCTAAGGCACACCTGTGCAATAATCATGCTGTCTAATCAGCATCTTGATATGCCACACCTGTGAGGTGGGATGGATTATCTCGGCAAAGGAGAAGTGCTCACTATCACAGATTCTTTCAGATTTGTGAACAACATTTGAGAGAAATTGTTATTTTGTGTATATAGAAAAATGTTTTAGATCTTTGAGTTCATCTCATGAGAAATGGGAGCAAAAACAAAAGTGTTGCGTTTATATTTTTGTTCAGTATACAGTATGTGTTTAAACCTGGATACTTTTTTTTTGACATGACAGCCGATATAGCTGACATCTAGAACATTTACTTTGACAAGCAATAAACCAATGAGTATCTCTCTTTCACAGGCAAGGAGAAATGGGAGGAGCTTGCATCATTTCTGGTCACTTGATTACAACTATAAGGCGTTGCCTGGTTACAGGGGAGGTTCAACTAACCCCCTTCTCCCCTACGTGCGTAAACGCAAACGTTCCCGTGTAAAGGCACCCAAAGACGGTTTGCCAAGCCTCATACTACCACCTGAGGAACATCTCCAAAATGCGACACTCCCTCACCAAACCGGATGCAGAAAAACTGCTCCATGCGTCACCTCCCGCATTGACTACTGCAATTCTCTGCTTGCAGGCATTCCAGCAAAAAACACTCAGAGACTACAATATGTACAAAACGGTGCCGCCCGGATACTCACAAAAACACGCAAATCAGAGCACATCACCCCCATCCTTCACTCAGTCCACTGGCTCCCTGTAACACACCAGATCAACTACAAAGTCCTCATAATGGTCTTCAACGCCATCAACCACACCGGCCCCCCCCCCCTTACCTACAGGAACTGCTAACCAGAAAACATTCCCATACCTCACGCACACTCAGGTCAGACAGCTCCAATCTCCTGGCTGTTCCGTGGACAAAACTGGTCACCATGGTCACCGTGCTTTCTCCTCCCTGGGTCCACGTCTGTGGAATCAGCTTCCAGAGAACAGACGGACCTCGGCATCACTCTCAGTCTTTAGGAAATGCCTCAAGACCCCCCTGTTCCACACCGCATGCTACTGCCCGTCCTTTATTTAATTGTTTTAATGTTTGTAACCTTTTATGCTCTTAACCTTTGATTTTGATTTGTGACATTACCATATTTTATTCAATATGCTCCTTTAGATATATTTTTATTTTATTATTTTCTCCTTATAGCTTTGTGAAGCACCTTGAGATGACGTTCTCTTTAAAGTGTGCTGTATAAATCTAATGTATTGAGCTGTGACATGGAGAAGAGTGATGGACAGCTGGAGATCTCACCTCTGAGATTTGGTCTGGCTGTCATGTTCCCCAGAGCTTTTAGAGGGGGGGGCTTCCTCCTCTCTGTCCTCACACTGATCCATAGCAGAGCCCCCACCTTCACACAAACACAACAACATGCTGACTGCCCTCCTGCCGGGGGTTCTGCCAACCCTATGTCCTGTCCCGTTGGAGGTCCCGCCGACTTCGCTCCTGCCGGGGGTCCTGCCAATCCTGTGTCCTGTCCCGTTGGGGGTCCCGCCGACTGCCCTCCTGCCGGGGGGCCTGCCAACTCCTGGTCCTCTTCCGTGGGGGATCCTGCCGAGGCCTGTCCCAACAGCGCCGGTTCCTGTCCGGCCGACACCGGGTTCTGCCCGGCCCCCTGAGAGTCGCGGTCTTCGCCCTCGAGCCCGGCCCCCTGAGAGTCGCGGTCTTCGCCCTCGAGCCCGGCCCCCTGAGAGCCGCGGTCTTCGCCCTCGAGCCCGGCCCCCTGAGTGCCGCAGTCCTCGCCCTCGGGCCCGGTCCACTGACTCTTCCTGCCGTTGCCTTCGCCCTCGGGCCCGGCCCCCTGACTCTTCCTGCCGCTGCCTTCGCCCCTCCATGGTCCTCACCTTGGACTCTGTCTTGCCCCCGGGCCGTCCGCCCGAGTCCCCCTTTTTGGACTCTGCCTTGCCCCCGGGCCGCCCGCCCGAGACCCATTCCTGGTCCTTTGCCTTACCCCCCGGGCCGTCCGCCCGAGACCCCTTCCTGGTCCTCTACCGTGCCCCTGGGCGGTCAGTTCAGTCCCGTCCTCCTGACCCCCTCCACCCACCCTGGTGGCTTAGTGATGCGTCCCTCCTCCGGACCCCCTCCACCCACCCTGCTTGGGGTTTTGGATTTTTTTTGTTTTGTTTTGGGACATCTGGGATCCGTCCCTTGAGGGGGGGGGGTACTGTTAGGATCTGTCTGTGTTGGTGTTTTTCTTGTCTTTTTCTATCTTTGGGTTTCCTGTTTTATTTTGTAAAGTGTTCACCCCCGTTTCCTGCCTGTTTGCTTTCTGTCTGTTTCCCTCCCCGATTACCCGATTGTGTTCACCTGGTACCTCTGTGTTTTCTCCTCCCTCCTCACCTGTCTCGTGTTTATGTGATTAGTCCTGGGTGTATTTAAGTTCTGGGTTTTCTGTCTCTCTTTGTCGGGTTGTCTTGTGTAAATGACCAGTTCATCGGTGAGTGTTCCGTTCTGTCTCTGTTTGTGTTAGAATTATAGCCTTGAAATAAAGGTATTATTTTTGTTATATCTGCATTTGGGTCCTGCTTCCTGCACACCGTAACATCCACCGTAACAGAAACACTGACAACAGTACATGGAGATCTTTCTAAACTCATTCTGCTTTCACTCAGAGAGAAACCCTACACAATATTAGACTGATGTTTAGAGTCAGCATCAAGAAACATGTGTCCTGTTAAATGTAATACAGTATATTGTAGTGATCACTAATTTACTCATGTTACATGATTCACTCATGGAACTACGGGTTGGGGGTATTGTTTCCACACGGACACGTATGTTGACTGTCCCTACTGTATACCTACTGTGTGCCCTCCATTCTCTTCTTCCCTTCTCTTCCCGGTCTTCAAGCCAGCAACATGTGCTTTTCTGCAGCTCAATAAAGTAAACTTTGCACCTTCGATGCACCGCCTCCGACTCTCATCTCTCGGCACTACAATATATAACTTATTACTGTCTCTTTTAAGTAATAAGTTACATTAGAATATTACTGTCTCTGAAATGTAATGAGTTACACTACTTTTATATGACTTTTATACGCCAGTGACTTATCCGACCGGCCCACATCGTGCGATCGGCCCACTTCAGTACCGGCCCATCGGGATTCGTCCTGATGGCCAGTCCGCCCCTGGTATAGACAGACAGGAAGAAAACACTAACAGGAACACGGTATGGACTACAGACAGGAAGTAAACACTAACAGGAACACGAGAACACGGTATGGACTAGAGACAGGAAGTAAACACTAACAGGAACACGGTATGGACTACAGACAGGAAGTACACACTAACAGGAACACGAGAACACGGTATGGACTACAGACAGGAAGTAAACACTAACAGGAACACGGTATGGACTACAGACAGGAAGTACACACTAACAGGAACACGAGAACACGGTATGGACTACAGACAGGAAGTAAACACTAACAGGAACACGGTATGGACTACAGACAGGAAGTAAACACTAACAGGAACACGGTATGGACTACAGACAAGAAGTAAACACTAACAGGAACACGGTATGGACTACAGACAGGAAGTAAACACTAACAGGAACACGGTATGGACTACAGACAGGAAGTAAACACTAACAGGAACAAGGTATGGACTACAGACAGGAAGTAAACACTAACAGGAACAAGGTATGGACTACAGACAGGAAGTAAACACTAACAGGAACACGGTATGGAATACAGACAGGAAGTAAAGACTAACAGGAACACGGTATGGACTACAGACAGGGAGTACACACTAACAGGAACACGGAATGGGCTCTGCAGTGTTAAAGGACTTGTTAGTGCAGGGGTGGGGAACCTCCGGCCCCCGGGCCGCATACAACCCGCGAGACCATTTGATACGGCCCTTGAGGTAATTTATAAACACACGTGAAACATTTAAGAAATCTAGATCGCAAAATAATTAAACAAGCGAGTGCCTGTTTTTCCTGGCCAAGGTCAAGGTCCTTGAACACAACCCGAGCCTAACGTGTCATCACGTGGTGTATGTCTCGTCTGATGACAGGTGCTGACGGAGAGCACCAGAACGCGGCTCAGCCACTTCAGAAACTGCAGTACCCATAAGGAGCCGTACACATGCCGCAGTTCCTGCGTGGCTGTGTCTTTAGCTGAAAGCCCAGTGTCGATCTGTCACACTGATCATACAGTCTTTGTTGTTATTAGCATCTGGTTAGCTAGCTATGCTAACGAATATAAGAGCTTTTTCTCCAACCAGTGAGGTAAAGGCACATCTTTATATGATCATTATAGTTATAAAAAAACAAGAGAATAAAGTAAACAGGTATAAAATACTATATGACAGTAAAAAAAAGTTATTAATAAACAAGAATACAGTTTGAAAGGGGAGTGATGCTTTTAACTTCAACAAGCAGCATGCCCCCCGGACCCCCCCTAGAGGAGGTTAGGTCCCCCCCCCCACTTAAATCATGTCCACATGGATATGAAACTAAATACATTTGCACACATCTTGTGTCCATATCCTTCTGTTTTGGTGGTCATGCCACACCGTGCACGTGCATGCATGCCACAACCGTGCACGTGCATGCATGCGCAAGTCATGGTTAGATATCTGGATTCAGAGGTTGCGTTTTCTTTGCACAGCATGAAAGAAAGGCAAAATGAATGGGCTGTGATTTTAGTATTTTTAAGCAGAGGTCAATAATTTGTACGACTCTCGGAGGATGTTGTAAAAATTGAAATGGCCCTTGAGAGGAAAACGGTTCCCCACCCCTGTGTTAGTGGATCAGAAACTGTGAACAGAGTTCGACAGTGCTGCCCTAAAGTTGTTGTTGTCACAGTTCCAGCCGTTGGTGCGCCATGAGGTCTGCCTGCATCTGATCTGAGGACGCCTTCACACCCTCAGGAATCCAGAGCGTGAAAACACGTCAGTCACGTGGAAACCGGCCTTACAGGATGTAGCTGTCCGCCTGCCAGACGCTCCCTCACCTGCCTGACTCAGAGCATTAAGAGTTAGACATCCTACAGGATCAATTAAGATATGTTTATCATGCTTGGGCTAAAGCAGTGGTTCTCAAAGTGGGGGGGGAGCCCCCCCAGGGGGGCGCAGAGGCATGCCAGGGGGGGCGCGAGAGACCAGGAGGAAAAATGGTTAAAAAAAAAAAAGATTAAAAAAAAAAAAAATCATAATTTTAAAAATTATTGATTCGAAAATAATATGATGCAGTACAGTATTATTACGTGTTGAGAGATGTATCCATAGATCTCTTCATTTTGCTCTCAAAGTGCACCAGATTGATACATTTAACTTCAATATTTAAAAATGAAATCTTCCCGGGGGAGCTTGCCCCCGGACCCCCCTATGTGAGGTCCACACACCACCTATAAAAATAGCACTTTACCCCTGCTAAGCTGATTATCGAGCCTTCATTGTAACAGTCGCGGGTACACTGTGTATATGCGTGGGGAATGTTGCAGTAGAAAATTCCACTGTAGCGACCGGTACATTAATGGGAAACCCTAAATGTTTGAGCACCCTCTATGAAACGTCAAGCTACCTGAGCTACTGAGCCTGACTATTTGTGTTGGGGGGGCCCGACTTTTTTTTTTCTCCAAAGGGGGGGGCCTGACAGAAAAAGTTTGAGAACCACTGGGCTAAAGTCATGAACCAGTCGTCAGAATCCAGTGTAATCTGCAGGAGAATTCAGATCAGAGGATGTACTCTTACCTTCTGTACAGTAGATGGTGATAGCAAACCATGGAAGAAAGTTAAGTGAAAATAATGTATCAGAAGTAAAAGCAGTTATTGCTTGTTCTGAAGGTTATGTAACTCCATTCATTCAACATACTCCAGCACATACCAGTAAACCAGTCTACACTGATCTATGAATCAAAGTGGGAGGGGCTGTCCGGTAACCAGGGATAATCTATTGAGGGCAATCCCCACAGGAGCACTTTGGGGTGAAGAGTCTCAGGGACACAACGACATGCTGACTGCAGTGGGGTTTGAACCTGTGCTCCCCTTATCGCAACACCAGCCCACAACCCACTGCGCCACACGCCTCCCACTTTCTTAACAAGAGAATATAATCGAGGGGTGATCAATAACATTTCCGTATTTATTTATTTCTCCAAGTTATGTTTTTGTGTGCACGGAGGAGTCTCAAACAGACGTTTGTTAAATCATTTAAAGATTGGCTTCAATCATGTTTTGTTAATTAATTCTAATATATGATAAATGAGAGGTAACATTTTATGTGAGACTGCAGGTCTCCCTTGAAAAAGAGATCTCAAGGGACAATCTGGATAAATAAAGGATTGAAATTCATGGTATTATTTCCACATATTTCTCTCCATTCTTCCTTCTGCCAACGGTGTCGCAGTTTCTCGTCCCTCCTGTTGTTGTGTGTGGAGGACGGCACATTTTCCATTTTGTTTTTTATAAATCGCAAAGATTGCTTAGAAATTGGCGTACGCCATCTTTTGAGCGTACGCCACGTTTATAAATGAGGCCTCAGGTCAGCCCAGAATGTTCCCCTCAGAACCAGAACCACACTCAGGGTGTTGACCCATCAATATGTGTTAGTGTGTCACAGTGTATCACAGCACACACAAACAGTCACTTCAATGAACATCCACAGGTCATTTACAGCCCAGCCCCCACAAGATATCCCACACACCTGAACTGCGCTCAGTAACCGTTCAATAACATTTCTTTGTTAGGTTTAGAACAAATATAATTGTTTGGCTTAAAATGTTAATTACATGAAAGCAGTTACGGACTTTAATTAAAATGAGGTCTTTTGTGAACTGATAAGAAATGTGTTTTTGATATATCATTGAAAATATGAAACATAAGTTCCCTCATAACTAAGTTACAATGCAGTTCAAATCTATGGGAAGAATCTTTTTATTTTTTTGAAATCTCCCGTTTACTTTTCATGCAAATGTTTTGTATAGCCCAACATATATATCAAAACATGTATTGTTATATATTTTTTCAAATTTGGGCGATCTAGTCCCAGATGTATAATCTAAAATGTAAAAAAAGATTTGTCATTTTCAAGGCTCTTCAGTGAAACCAGGTCAGTGTTGGAAGACGGGCCCTTCACACTCCTTCCCTGATTCAGAGTATTACGAGTTAGACAGAAAAACAGTCACGAGTTGTTAGAGCGGGTTCTGACACGCCCTGCACTTTGCTCTGATGACGAGAACTCAGAGAACAATCAGACTGAAACTCATTTACCTGAAACACTGACAACAGTACATGGAGATCTTTCTAAACTCATTCTGCTTTCACTCAGAGAGAAACCCTACACAATATTTCAGACAGATGTTCAAACAGACCCTGGATATGTTTGAGTTTTCTTAACTAACCCTAACAAACGAGATCTCGCTAAGAGGTCCTACGACGCTGGTTATCAACTCAGTAAATCAACCAGGGTTTCACAAACATGGACAAGCGTACTGGCAGCGCAGCGTCATACTTCATGACTGAATAGTAAACTATCATGTTAGACAAATAGGAAGACGTTCAACTTTTAACATCCATGACTTAACACTTTATCCAGGATAAAAGCCACATAGTTGCACGGGCAAGGTCAATACAGAACAGCTGGTAAAAGAAAAACTACCAAGTGTTTGAATGCGTTCATTAACAGTTTTATGATATCACTGCCTGTCTACTCACAGACTCTCTTCAGGTCCACTCACAGACTCTCTTCAGATCTACTCACAGACTCTCTTCAGGTCTACTCACAGACTCTCTTCAGGTCTACTCACAGACTCTCTTCAGGTCTACTCACAGACCCTCTTCAGGTCTACTCACAGACTCTCTTCAGGTGAGGAGGAAACTCTGCTCATCTCTTCCTCTTCAGTCCTGAGTCCGCCTGCATCTGATCTGAGGACGCCTTCACACTCTCAGAAATCCAGAGAGTGAAAACACGTCAGGATCACGTGGAAACCGGCCTTACAGGATCTAGCTGTCCGCCTGCCAGACTCTCCCTCACCTGCCTGATTCAGAGTATTAAGAATTAGACAGAAAAACAGTCACGACTTGTTAGAGCAGATTCTGACACACCCTGCATGTCTCTCTGATGACGAGAACTCAGAGAACAATCAGAATTAATTCTACCTGAAACCCTGACAACAGTACATGGAGATCTTTCTAAACTCATTCTGCTTTCACTCAGAGAGAAACCCTACACCATATTAGACTGATGTTTAGAGTCAGCATCAAGAAACATGTGTCCTGTTAAATGTAATACAGTATATTATAGTGATCACTAGTTTACTCATGTTACATAATTCACTCATGGAACTACGGGTTGGGGGTATTGTTTCCGCACGGACACGTATGTTGACTGTCCCTACTGTATACCTACTGTGTGCCCTCCTTTCTCTTCTTCCCTTCTCTTCCCGGTCTTCAAGCCAGCAACATGTGCTTTTCTGCCGCTCAATAAAGTAAACTTTGCACCTTCGATGCACCGCCTCCGACTCTCATCTCTCGGCACTACACTGGTGACCCTGACGTAAGTCTCGCAGAAGTTTCCGAGACTGGACCAAACATGGCTGGAAACGTTGTTTTTCACAAACTGCCGGAGATTTATGGAGGCGTCCGTGGCTGCCACGCGCACACGGATTGAGGCTCGGTGCGCCCTCCGCGGAATGGCCGGGGACGTCGCTCGCCATTCCCTCATCGTTTCAGCACTTGAAGACAGCAAGCCTTCCGACTACATGGAGACGATACACGGCCTGCTAGGTACGGAAGAGCCTGATATTTTTTTCATGGAGCTGTTTCTCCAGCTAACACGGCTAGCGTGGAGCCCCGCGCTTTTGCCGAAGAAGCTGACCGGTTCTTCCTGGCCGCCCAAAGATTTACCCCTGAGGTGCTGCCAGGGTTGCCAACTCTCACGCATCTGGCGTGTGACACACGCTTTCACTCTCACGCTCTCACGCTGCCCAAACTATTCTCATGCCAAACACAAGATGAACCGGCGATCGTTTTTGGTTGCTTATTTACAATGTTGAGTTGACAGCTGCTCAAGCTGTCGACCCGCTCCCTCCCCGCCCCCACCACTCTTAACAACGTTAACAGACAGCAGAGCAGTGGGAGCCGGTTGGTCAATCAGGTGTGTTGCGCATGCGCAGATCTAAGATCCAGTAGAAATGATAACAAAGTAAAAGTCTGCTGCTTATTGTTCTACTAGGCCAAAATAGAGTCAAAGAGTATAAGAGAGTGAGAGTGTGTTAATTAATATATTTGGCAGTTTGGAGTAAGTCTTTAGATTTGTTTGTGTCTGTGTGTTTCATGTATAGGCCTCTCACGATAATTAATTTTGTTGGATACATTTTCCCAGAAATTATTGCGATAACCGATAATATTGTCGGCACCGTTGTATGACCATTTTAGACCACTGACATAATGACAATATATAATAATAATTCAAGTAGGCCTACATCCTTTCAAACTGCTAGTCACATCCTCATGTAAATGGAAAGGAATCGAGTTCATTTTTATATATCGTACGATAAGTCAATTCATTGCTTATCGCTACAGGCACACAATAAAACAGTGGAAACAAACATGTGTTTGACTTTCATTAGTGAATGAAACTGTGTGCCCTTTATAGTCTGTGTCCAATATTGTGTATTTGTATATATTGTATATATATCCTATATATATGCTAAGGTCCCGCTGCTGACATGATAGCAGTCATTTAGTGCGCATATGTGTAATTAAACCCATGATATCAAAATCTCACTCCAGCCAGGTACCCACAGTTGGCAACCCTGCTGGCCACTACACGCAGCGGCACCTTCCCTGGTAGAGGCACGCGGGGGAGGCAGAGGCTCCGGGGCCGACGACATCGACTGACGGCTACCGACTTACAGCTAACAGCTAACCACGACAGCTAACGGCTAGCAGCTACAGATGGCTAACAGCTAACAACGACAGCTAACAGCTACCAGCTAACGAAGACAGCTAACGGCTAGCAGCTACTAACAGCTATCGACGACAGCTAAAGGCTAGCAGCTAACGACTGACTGCTTCCATATGTTAACATCTGACTGTTAACTATTTTTGGTGGTGCCGGAGAGGAGGTTCGACCAAGCCTGGTTGACCTCGTGTGGATCCTCTCACAATTTTGCCCACCTGTTTTTGATCTTGGACAGGACGACCCTTTTGAGATTTTTACGGTGCCTCGTGTGGACACTCTCGTTTCGGACGTCGCCCACGTTTTCATCGGCGCCTGCGTGGCGCACTTCTGGACCCCGTCTCGCCTCGACAGTTTCGGACGTCGCCCATGCTTTCATCGGCCCATGGATGGCACGCTTCGGGACCCTGTCTGGCCTCTTCCTTCGCCTCTGCAGCAGTTTCGGACGTCGCCCACGCCTTCATCGGCCCGTGGGTGGCTCACTCCCGGACCCTGCCTGGCCTCTCCTCTAACCACGGCTCATGGTTCACCTCGACGGCGGCTTCGGACGTCGCCCACGCTGTCATCTGCGTCTGGGTGGCGCACATCTGGACCCCGTCTCGCCTCTCCCCTGTCCACGGCTCTTTCCTCCCGGGGATGCCGCTCCTTCCTTCCGAGGATTTTGTGCCCGCCGCCGGTTCGCGCTCGCCTGCGGCCGGGCTGCGCTCCTCCCTGCTGGGGACCACCGGGATATTCACGCCCGTCGCGGCACAGCGACCCAGCTTTCTACGACTGGCGGATGTTGTCTTCCGCCACAACGGCCCTTTCCATGGCCTGTCCCCCAACCCCCCGGTGGGGATGCCCTCACACTCGTTGGGGCCCCCCTGCCCGCTCCTGCGGCCTCCTTCCGACGGCTCGTTCCATGGCCCGGCCCTCGCCTACGGCCCCGCCCTCCTGTGCCCTTGTGGTGTTTCCTCCGGATGCGAGGATTCTGTCCATGGTTGAATTCTGGGGGGGCTTGTGTAGTGATCACTCATGTTACATAATTCACTCATGGAACTACGGGTTGGGGGTATTGTTTCCGCACGGACACGTATGTTGACTGTACCTACTGTATACCTACTGTGTGCCCTCCTGGAAACCGGCCTTACAGGATCTAGCTGTCCGCCTGCCAGACTCTCCCTCACCTGCCTGATTCAGAGTATTAAGAATTAGACAGAAAAACAGTCACGACTTGTTAGAGCAGGTTCTGACACACCCTGCATTTCTCTCTGATGACGAGAACTCAGAGAACAATCAGAATTAATTATACCTGAAACACTGACAACAGTACATGGAGATCTTTCTAAACTCATTCTGCTTTCACTCAGAGAGAAACCCTACACCATATTAGACTGATGTTTAGAGTCAGCATCAAGAAACATGTGTCCTGTTAAATGTAATACAGTATATTATAGTGATCACTAGTTTACTCATGTTACATAATTCACTCATGGAACTACGGGTTGGGGGTATTGTTTCCGCACGGACACGTATGTTGACTGTCCCTACTGTATACCTACTGTGTGCCCTCCTTTCTCTTCTTCCCTTCTCTTCCCGGTCTTCAAGCCAGCAACATGTGCTTTTCTGCCGCTCAATAAAGTAAACTTTGCACCTTCGATGCACCGCCTCCGACTCTCATCTCTCGGCACTCCAATATATAACTTATTACTGTCTCTTTTAAGTAATAAGTTACATTAGAATATTACTGTCTCTGAAATGTAATGAGTTACACTACTTTTATATGACTTTTATACGCCAGTGACTTATCCGACCGGCCCACATCGTGCGATCGGCCCACTTCAGTACAGGCCCATCGGGATAAGTCCCGAACGTCCTGATGGCCAGTCCGCCCCTGGTATAGACAGAGAGGAAGTAAACACTAACAGGAACACGGTATGGACTACAGACAGGAAGTAAACACTAACAGGAACACGGTATGGACTACAGACAGGAAGTAAACACTAACAGGAACACGGGAACACGGTATGGACTACAGACAGGAAGTAAACACTAACAGGAACACGGTATGGACTACAGACAGGAAGTAAACACTAACAGGAACACGGGAACACGGTATGGACTACAGACAGGAAGTAAACACTAACAGGAACTTGGTATGGACTACAGACAGGAAGTAAACACTAACAGGAACACGGTATGGACTACAGACAGGAAGTAAACACTAACAGGAACACGGTATGGACTACAGACAGGAAGTAAACACTAACAGGAACACGGTATGGACTACAGACAGGAAGTAAACACTAACAGGAACAAGGTATGGACTACAGACAGGAAGTACACACTAACAGGACCACGGAATGGGCTCTGCAGTGTAAAAGGACTTGTTAGTGTAGGGGTGGGGAACCTCCGGCCCCCGGGCCGTATACAACCCGCGAGACCATTTGATACGGCCCTTGAGGTAATTTATAAACACATGCGAAACATTTAAGAAATCTAGATCGCAAAATAAAATAATAACAAGCGAGTGCCTGTTTTTCCTGGCCAAGGTCAAGGTCCTTGAACACAACCCGAGCCTAACGTGTCATCACGTGGTGTATGTCTCGTCTGATGACAGGTGCTGACGGAGAGCACCAGAACGCGGCTCAGCCACTTCAGAAACTGCAGTACCCATAAGGAGCCGTACACATGCCGCAGTTCCTGCGTGGCTGTGTCTTTAGCTGAAAGCCCAGTGATCTGTTCATCTGTCATACTGATCATACAGTCAATATCTTTGTTGTTATTAGCATCTGGTTAGCTAGCTATGCTAACGAATATAAGAAGCTTTTTATCCAACCAGTTTTTATATGATCATTATAGTTATAAAAAAACAAGAGAATAAAGTAAACAGGTATAAAATACTATATGACAGTAAAAAAAAGTTATTAATAAACAAGAATACAGTTTGAAAGGGGAGTGATGCTTTTAA